CCTCCACCCGCCCCCCTCCACGGCACCCACACAGGTGGCAGAGCACGCGTGTGCTGCACTCGCTCAGGAGCTGCAGGGTTGGCAGCCCTTTGCATCCGCGGCCGACGACGAGCGATGCCTGCTGCAGCTGCTCCTGATCGCGCGGCTCGCGACGCAGCTCGGCGCGCCGCAGGCGGCCGCCGCGGCGCACCAGCATCGGCGACCGGGGCAGCAGGCGAGGGCGGACGTGTCGGCGCCGGCGCCAGCGCCGGCGCCGCAGCAGCAGTCGCAGCTGGGCTGGCGGTGGGCGGCGCTCGCGGCCGTGCATTCGGTGCTGGCGGCGGCGCTGCCTTCCGTCCTGCGGGCTGAAGACAGCCGTCCCGCACGCTCCTGCACAGAAAAGGCGCCCGCAAAGCCGCCGCCGTCGGGCGGCTGGGCGGGCTTTCAGGCGCCCCTCCGGCCGCCGGCCCTCCGGCGCGCGCAGCCCCCTTCCGGCGTCGCCGCCGCCGCCGCGCCGACGGGCGAGGCTGCGGAGCGCGGTGGGGGCGGCGCGCTCGTCCCGGCCGCCGCGGTCACGGCAAACTGGGGCCGCCTGGCGGCGCGGGCGGACGTAGACATTGCATCAGCCGCCGTGCGCGCGGCGGCGGCGCTCGCTGCGCAGGACGGCCTGGCGCGGGCGTGCGGCTGGGGGCCGCTGTCGGCCGCTGACCTGGCCGATCCCTTCGCGCTGCAGCGACCCGCGCCCGCCGCACCCGCGGCGGCGGCCGGTGGCTCGCGCGCGGCGGCCGATGGTGGTGTCTTTGGTGGCGCAGGCGGCCTGGAAGGCTGGGCGTCTCAGCCTGGCGAGCAGCAGCAGCAGCAGCAGCAGCAGCAGCAGCAGCAGTCTGGGGACGTTGGGAGCGCCGCCTCCTGGGCGGCCCTGCTTTGCAGCGCCCTGGCGTCCGAGCCGCTCCGCCGCCAGGCCAGGCGCCCCGCGCGGCAGCTGCTCCTCAGCTGCTGCGGCGGCAGCAGGGACCTCCTCCGCGACGGGCGCGCGGCGCGGGCGCTCGCCGTCGCGTGGGCGCGCTGCGCGCGGCGGCTCGGCGGCGGCGGGGGCGGCGGGGAGGCGCGCGGGTGGCTGCGCGACTGCCAGCTGGCGTCTGAGCTCGCCGCGCTGCTGCGGCTTGCGGAGGCGCGCCCCCGCTGCTGGGCCACGCTCTGCGCGCGCGACGCGGCCGCGCTGCCCGCGTTGCTGCGCGCCTGCCTGTCCCAGCGCGGCCCGACGCCTGTCGTGCACGCGGCCGTGCGGCTGATGCTGCTCGCTTTGGAGGCTCCTTCCCCGGCGAGCGCCGCAGATGGCAGCGGCCCGCACGCGCCCATCAGCGCCGCGCAAAGCGGCCGCCTGCGACAGGGCGCGGCAGACAAAGGCGGTGCTGGTGCGCCGGCGACAGCTTCGCAGGCCCAGCCGCTCGAGCTAGACCTATCATGCTTCGGCTTGACGGCGGGGGAGGCGCCATCCGCGCCGCCAGCGGCGGCGGCGGCGCGGAGGCAGCAACAGCAG